CTAGATGGAGTTCTGCAACATAATTTTTCCAGACTTTGATTTATGATATACCTGGAATTACCAAGCACCATCACTCTGAGTTTGGGGTAAAGTATACAAAAAAAATTATTGCCATTAACTTCTATATGTTTATTCTACAGATTATCTTACACCGAACTGATCAAGTACTTCGAAAATGACTTCAAAATGTCTCTTGGTGCCCTTCGTACTTGCTGCACTAACTCTTTCAACTGCGTTTTCTCTCCAACCAGACCAGCAGCAAAAGGTTCTACTAGTTTCATTTGATGGATTCCGTTGGGATTACTTATATAAAGTTCCAACACCCCATTTTCATTATGTTATGAAGTACGGTGTTCACGTGAAACAAGTTACTAACATTTTTATTACAAAGACCTACCCTAACCATTATACTTTGGTAACTGGCCTCTTTGCTGAGAGTCATGGGATTGTTGCAAATGACATGTTTGACCCTATTCTGAACAAATCTTTCTCCTTGGATCACATGAATATTTATGATTCTGAGTTTTGGGAAGAAGCGACGCCAATATGGATCACAAATCAGAGGGCAGGACATAGTAGTGGTGCAGCCATGTGGCCTGGAGCAGATGTAGAAGTACACAACAGCTTTCCTACTCACTACATGCCTTACAATGAGTCTGTTTCCTTTGAAGATAGAGTTGCCAAAATTATTGAATGGTTTACATCAAAGGAGCCCATAAATCTCGGTCTTCTCTATTGGGAAGACCCTGATGACATGGGCCACCATTTAGGACCCGACAGTCCACTCATGGGGCCTGTCATTTCAGATATTGACAACAAGTTAGGATATCTCATACAAAGGCTGAAAAAGGCAAAGTTGTGGAATGATCTGAATCTAATCATCACAAGTGATCATGGAATGACTCAGTGTTCTGAAGAAAGGGTGATAGAACTTGACCAATACCTGGACAAAGACCACTATACCCTGATTGACCAATCTCCAGTGGCAGCCATCTTGCCAAAAGAAGGTAAGTCTGACCTGAGTGGTAACCTGAGGCTAGGTCTACATTTGCCCAGTGTGATGAGGGGAATAGAGATTTCTGTTTCTGTGCCTTTTTAGTAAACTTGCCTGTGTCATGGTAATATTCTGGAATTTAATCCTTAGACTCTGAAAAAACAAAATCTCTTTCCTCAGAGTCTAATTTTTTCCTAGAATATTGAAATTGATGCTCTCTCTATATTTATGGTAGTAGGTTGTAACCATTTTGTAATCATAGAATATGACGAAAGCTACAGTTTCCCTTCTCAGCAAAAGTGAGATGCACAGATACATACAAAATTTGAATACAATTACAGTGAGTTCATGGAATCCCTAAAGCCTTCTCTAGACCCTTAATTAGGATCTGCTTAATAGGGAAGCAGTAGAGTATAAGAAGGAGAAAGAGCTTTGGTTAATCTGAGATTCATTTTCCTTATTTATAAGTAGGGAAAGTAATAAAGATACCTTGTACTTTTTAAAACCTATCCTGGAATCCTCATACCCAACCTGTCACCTGGGGGCATTGTCTCCTTTGACATGAAGACAGGTATGATAGGTATGATAGCTGAAAAGGTTTAACATCCCCAGGCCACAAAGTAAGTGGCAAAACATGACTCAGACCTGCTCTTCTGACTCACATTTTATCACCTCTTGGGGTTGGTTTTAGGTATCAAATGGGAGAACAAGAGCGTAAAAAGCTGGAGTATCTCACAATTGAGAATTCTATCCCTCAGTCTCTCAGAGAGAAATTAAGAGAATCATGTGAAACAGCAAATGTTACAATATGCGTGTGCACCTACACACAGAGTTTTCAACAAATAAAAAAGTTTTTCCCAATTAAAAAAAAACAAAATAAACCCTCAAATTCCCCTATAAAATTGGAATGGTGTTCTCTTGTTGGGGTGTGGGAGGCAGGGACAAAGCCCCAATAAATGAATATGAAAAATAAGAAAAGAAATGAAAGACAGTGCCCAGGTTTGCTGCAGTTGCAGTTACAAGGAACACCTTGGCAACAACTCCAGTGTTTTGAGGACTTTTCCATTTTACAAGCTGCTTTCCACCTTCAGTCTGTCTTTTCCCAGCCCCGACGCTCTACTTACCATGTTTTCTTGCTAGAGATTCTCTGTCCCTGCACTCATAACTATGAGAACCTAGCTCTTTGTTGAAGTATTTTAGTACTCTAGACATTTTACTTAGTGCCATCAATGAATATATGTGTGTGTATATGTGTTGAAGTCTAGAGATTAGAGATTTCTAGTTCTATAAAATGTCCTCTCTGAATTTATTTACGACAGAAAATTAATTATTTCTCAGTTTCCCCTCCCAAAAGGGAGGGAGTTCTAATGTGTCTGTGTGTATTTCGTTATGTTCAGCTTGCTGGCTTTTTGCCTCAGTAGGGAGTCTGTTGCCCATGGTTGTTTATCTGATTGTAGCAATGAGTGTCTTGTTCTAAGTGCCTCTCCTACCTTCTCTTTAGGTAAATTTGATGAAGTCTATGAAGCACTAGCTCATGCTCATCCTAATCTTACTGTTTACAAAAAAGAAGAGATTCCAGAAAGATGGCATTACAAATATAACAGTCGAATTCAACCAATCATAGCAGTGGCTGACAAGGGGTGGTATATTTTACAGAATAAGTCAGAAGACTTTCTGTGTGAGTATGTTACGGTATTTCTTCCCATTATGCACCATTTTTCAGTAAAGTGGAGGCTATGGATAATGCAGCAGTTTATTTACTGATGTTTTTACCCTCTGTTACTTAAATGTTGAAGGAATCACGTTGCGTCAATACTTAACTATCTAGAAATGCTTTTTTAGACATTGGTCCTTGACATATATAAGAGACGTACAAAAGTGTCGCTTTAAGTAGAATTGGGTTCCTACCATGTTTACTGCTAATGGCATTAGCAGTGTGTTCATGACTCATAGTACCAGGTGTGTATAGATGCATGGTTTCCAGTTCTTAAAGCAGTTTTTACATACTGATCATAAACTGCAAAACAGTATTTAATCATGCCACGGAAACTGTATTAAGAAGCCCTTTAAAAATGGTTTCTTTGGCCATGAGAATAATTTCCACCTTTGTATGTTCAGATTTTCAGGTATTGTGCAGGTAGCTCTTATGTTAGAGTGATTGCTCAAAAAAGGACTGCTATTTTTTAGGAGATTTTTATTTGACAGTTATCATAAATTTAAGAGCGCTCTCTAGAAATTTTCATTTAGTGAACTAAAAGTACACAATAGAGTGGTCACCTCTATTTTTGATAGAAAACCTTATATTTTCATTGATTCAACAAATAATTGAATATTGTCGCCCGTAGTCCTTCTCAGCGAGAGTTCCACAAGATAATTAAGCCCTAATGTTTAAAAGCAGTGATTCTCAAAGTGTCTTCCCTGGCCAGCAGCAAAGCATCCAAATCAACTGAGAACTTGTTAGAAATAAAAAATTCCTGGGCCCAACCCAGACCTGCTGAATTAGAAACTGTGAGGATAAGGCCTAGCAATCTGTGTTTGTACATGCCCCACCCCAGGGCTCTCATACACACTGAAGTTTGAGAACCACTGTCTTTAGGCATCCATTATTAAATACTATCTACTAGATCAAGCATTTATGGTAGGGGTTACCATTGCAAAACAAAATCCCTATTCATGGGAAAGATTTTGTATAAGTCATAATGATTTAATTTGAAATCTGATTTTCTAATAAATGTGATAGGAGAGAATCATTTTTATCTTCATGACTGAGAGTCCAGATCCCACCTTCTCATGGAAATGAACACAGCAATCCTCCAATTACAAATTATATAATGACGTAGTAACTTGTGAGATAATTACTAGTGATTCAGAAATCTGGCATTATTTTTACATGAATAGACTCAAAGAATCATGGCATTTAGAATGACTTCTTCAGATAGATTTTACCGGGAAAATTTCAAATGACTTTGAGGTGACTAGGGGTCAGTTCATGACTTCCAGAGAAATTGATTAAGGACTTTTTGGGGGGCTATGTTTGTGTTCCCATTGCATATTTTCCTGTAGCAATTATAGGTATTAGAGTTTAACTTACTAGTCATTCCTCTACCATTATTTTTTAAATTAAAAAAATTATTTTATTATGGGTACATAATAGTTGTATTTCTTTATGGGGTACTTGTGATATTTTGATACATTCATATGATGTGTAAAGATCAAATCACCATCACCTGAACTAATTATCTTTTCTTGATGATAACAAAGCCTATTGGTTTTCTTAGGTTGCCATCTTAATAGCAGTAGCTCCTTTGCCTTGCACCCTGATGTTATGCTAGGCACACATACCTTTAAAATGTGGCTATTGTTCTCAATTTTGCATTAATTTTATATCACTTGATATCTACGTCAGAAGACTCCTAAAGCTTTTACCTTATTCATAACCACACTAAAGTACACAATGCTAACTTGGATCCTGCACTGAACCATCAAAGTCAAGATTTTTTTTCCCTCTACGAACAGGTACTGACCTGTTTTTTAGTAGTGCATTGTAGCTGTAACTATCCATTGGATTTTTGTGGTGGTTTTTGTTTTTCTTTATGTGTTGTTTTTCCCTTTTTATTGGTAATTAGAAGTTTATTGTCTTCATGATTAAGACTAATAGCGTCTTTATCCCTTTATCTTCAGAACAATAATTGGAACATAGTAGGTACTGTATTTGCTGAATATTAGTTTGCCAGCCACCAAAAAAAAAAAAAAAAACAAAACTAATTTTTTCCTGACTTGGCTCAGTTTTGCTCTCTACCCTGCTTCCTCTATCACATAAGGCAGCGTTGGCCTGCGAGAAGCATTTGTGATCATTTGACTTTTCATTTCCTAAAGTAAACTGTGATGTTGACAACAGCACAGATTATTTGTAAAAGACTATTTTATTTTTCCAATCAAATTAGATAAAATTTGCGTTTAAGTTCAGAGCTTGACCGTATAATAGTTATTTCCATTTTAATGTCATCTGGTTGGCTAACTTATTCATGCATTTTCTTTTTGCAGTAGGCAACCACGGTTACGATAATGCATTAGCAGAAATGCATCCAATATTTTTAGCCCACGGTCCTGCCTTCAGAAAGAATTTCACAAAAGAAGCCATGAACTCCACAGATCTGTACCCGCTGCTGTGCCACCTCCTCAACATCACCACCATGCCACACAATGGATCATTCAGGAATGTGCAGGATCTGCTCAGTTCAGTAACTCCAAGCCAAACTCCTTATACCCAGAGCACTACACTCCTCCTTGGGAGTGTCGGACCAGAAGAATATGAGCAAGAGGAGTCGTACCCTTATTTCATAGGGGTCGCTCTTGGCAGCATTATAGTGATTGTGTTTTCTGTAATTTTCATTAAACATTTAATTCGCAGCCAAATACCTGCCTTACAAGATATGCAGGCTGAAATATCTCAACCGTTATTACAAGCCTAATGCTACTTTGAAGTGAAATTGCATATTGAAGTGGAGATTGCAAAGTTCTGTCAGTGTTTAAAGGTTTCAAATTCTAAGAAACCAGATGCAGACATTTGCAGAGACTGTCAAGCAGTTATATACATATATAGGTACAGTCTCTGACACACACACCAAAATACTCAGACCTGCAAGGATTAAAGATGTGAGAGTATGTCTCCATTGTTCTCTTTAGCTTGGGGAGAGAGAAGATCCTGCTTTATTTGGACTTGGCACATAATGTATATATTTAACAACTTTGCACTATTTAAAATACTTTATACATTGCACTTTTAATTGCTTTCCTAATGAGAACTTTTATTTGAAATACACTTTATGGACAATTATGTCTTACAATTTGGTTGAAAACAACAACTTTTTGTGCCCATGTCACAGAATAGTACTTATTCATTGTTCAAACTGGATGAAGTTTCTTGTAATTCTTGAATAATGTAGAAATCTATTCCCTTAAATCAGGACAACCATTGAAAATTAAGTGTGACAACCTTTGTACCTTTAATTTTGGAGAGATGTATTCCCTACAGCAGGGTGCATCTGCGGGCGTTTCTTGTCATATTTCTTTCCAAAAAAACATGGGTTTTCATTTGTTTTTTCCCCAAAAGAGATCCAAATGCTGACAGATTCATTCTGTCATAAAATTAACTATTGCTATTTTCTGATTAGTCATATTACTCTGATCTTTATATAATGAAGTCACCATGAATATACATTTCTTTCCTGTGTAGTTCAGCAATGGCCTGAATAGAAGAGATCAGGCACCATCTCAGCAATGTTTTCTCTTGTCCATGATTAATTTGCTTCTTTGAAATCATTATCAATTATTAATCATTATCAATAGCATTAAAAATCAAATTAGATTTTAAAAAGTTTGTTTTCTTTCTGGTAGCATGTAATAACAGCACAAGCATCTTTTAGATTTGCACATTTGAAGATCCAAAGTTGAAAAACAGCATAAATTATATTAGGTAAAATATAGGCCACTCAATTCTTGAAAAGAGCTGTGTGGAACCTGAGAAATAAATTAGGACACATCTGAGATGTTCACTCTCTACCCAGAGCAATGGTAATGATTGCCTACTGGCAAAAACTAGAAAAATAACTCCTAGCGGTAACTGGTATTAAAACAGAGGAACTGCAATTATGTAGCCCTGTTTCAAGAAATATTTAAATACCCACCTACCAGCTACTGGGTGGAATCAAAGATGGATCCAAGTCCACAAGTAGACTTCTACCTCCTGGGTAGTAGTTTTCACCTGCCTGGTCATCTCATCCCCTCTCTTTCCAACCATGCAAGGCTGTGCTTTAGGTTCCAAAATAATTAAGAAGTTTGGGAGAGCCATGGTATTGTGTACAGTTTCTTAGAGGAAAGTGGAAGCCTTGAAAGGAAAAGCTTTCCTTAAAGAAAGCATAAAGCAGATTGCAGCCACATGGTTAATAAGTAGATATTAATAAAATGGTATAACTCTTGCAGAAAGAAAGGACAAATTGGATGTGAAGAACAAAAATGACAAGAGTTAAAAATATAATTAATTGAATTTAAGTGCTTCTAAAATTAGGTGAATTATTTTTTAAATGATAATACTAAAGGAATATTAGCACCTAACTCTCATTTCATTACAAAATCTCATAATAGGATGGAATTGAACAACAGGAAATGGCCTATAGATTAAAAAGCAGAGAATCTAGATGGTCATGGTAGCAAACTCCCCAGAATTTTATACTGTGGATTAGACATCCCAGAATACTTGAGCACTCATGTTGGCTTGCTTTGTAGCTACGAACTTAGCTGCATTATTGAGATGTCAGTATAATGACTAAAAGATGAAATTAGTCCATTGTAAAGCATCACTGTTCAAATCTGTCCATTTAAATGAATTGTTGCATTAAATTCATTTCAGAAGGTGCCATTACCTTAGTAGTAAGAAGAAAGTAAATTCTGTAACATTGATGAAAGCATTAAAATTCTGATATGAAGATTTGATTATTGGATGGTTTCTTTTACTTGCAGATACTTATTTTCCTATAAACTGTCAGTGGGAGAGTTTACCTGAAGGAAAATGAAATTTTAAGCTTTTCTGGAAAGAAAATCTTATCACTCATACTTTGATAGCTTTTTGTTTTGTTTTACCTACATGTCTTCATGGTCAAACCTTCTATGCAATCAACACAAATTAGCATGTGGAAATAAAATTTAGACTAGCTAATCTTACAAATCTTAAGAATTTTTTTAAAAGTTCAGAGGAATGGAGCTCCACCCTCCCACCATTTTTGCTCAACATCCTCCAGCCATTTTGTACAATTTGTTATTTGATAAGATTTTTTTTAGTGTGTGTTTCACAATTTCTTCTCCCTCTGCCACCTGCCATTTAGATTTAAATTGCTTTATAAAATGCTATCTGACTCTCTAAGGTAAAACTAGCATCCAATTAGTTTCTTACAAGAACCCATTCTTTGTAGAAAATCTAATGAAAGACCTAGCTCTTCTAGTTGTCATTTTTTTTCAGCTAGTCATTAAATGAGGGGGACAAGTTTTATAACCATAGAGCTAGAAAGGATCTAAGGGATCATTCAACCCCTTGATTTAACAGGGGCCTTTGCACAGCGGTGAAGGGACTAGCATGACATATTAGTGCCAGAGCTGGAAGCAGGACCCAGGTTTCCTGCTTCAGTTTGGACTTAAAGTCAAGCTGCAGCCTAAGTTGGTTTACTTCCTGTTCTTCCTATCCCAAGCAGGAGGTGTAAGTGCAGCTCCCACCCTTGGCAAGCTCTGTACTCCAGCTTTGACCTTCAGCCATGCAAGGCTCACAGCTTTCCTCCAGACTGGCCAATACCCCAGGACAATGCCCCAAGACAAAAATCGTCCAGAATGCTGGACTCACTTCTCAGGATTTCAGTCTTCTCTGAATCTCACCCTGGTAATTCCTCATTACCTTGTGGGCAATTTGATGCTTTAGAAAAGACATTTAAAAATATATTGTATTAATAACTTCCAATCAGGACAAGATGACATAGACTCGCTTTTCCTTGCTTATACATGCTATTAACTGTAAACCCTGGAAATGGTGCAAGAGGCTCTGAAGAGCGGTAAGACGGCTGAGAGCTGATTCGGGACCTCAGGGCTGGAGAAACAACATAACGGCAGGGCTTCCCATGACCCCCATCCAACAGAAGAAAGCCACGCAAAGCCTGTATTCCCCAATCCCAGTCTAGCAAGACAGTACCCACCAGGGGAGGCTTATTCCTCTCTGGATCAAAGAGGATTCTCTATAAACATCAGGTAAGCCTGTATCACCAGCAAGTGGAACTAACATAACTAATGAGGAGTATTGATTGGGAGCCAGTTAAAAACAAGCATCCAAGAGCAACATTCTCCTTCTCCGCCATGGGGATTGAGCCTGCCTTCCACTGAGAAGTACAGAGGTGGACAAGCAGAACCTACAAGAGACAGCCAGCTACAGCAGACAGTCTGGGGAACCTCTTTGTCTCCAAAGGCTTGAGACTCTTCTCCCCTGCCCAGAGGCACTGGGGTGAGAAGGCAAGACCTTAAAAAGGGACCCAGTTACAGCAAGTAGCCTGGTCTGGGAAATCTCCGTGTAACCATGGCCTGAAACTCTCCTCCTCTGCCCAGAAACTTCATAATGGGCAAGAGGCACCAATAAGGGACTCCCACCATACCACTTCCCCACCAAGGGATACCGGGCAGCTGGCCTGGGGAAAACCCTTGTGCCTCTCTCAGGCAGGACCTGCAGAGACCAGTGGGAATCTCAGCAGCACCACATAATCCAACAGACCAAAATAACACCACAAAGGCTGTGAAAATTAAGCTGCCATTGAAACTACAGCCCACAAAAGTAGGTCAAGACCTTCATGCTAAACCTCAATAGTGTGACTTCCTGCTGAAATAAAAAATTTAAAGGGAACCCATCATCTCCTAACATAACAAATAAGATATCCAGGATAGAACTGAAAATTACTTGTATACCTAGAATGAAGACAATCCCAACTAGAAAGAGAAAAGACAATTGACGGCAACACCAAGATGAATCCGATGTTGGGATGGTACCACAAGAAACAAAACAGCGATCACAAAAATACTTCAACAATCAACTGCAAATTATCTTTAAAATGAAAAGGTAGAAAATAGCAAAGAAATAACAGTTATTTTTTTAAATGAAAATTACAAAACTTAAAAATAAAATTATAAAGAAGACTCACCAGATGGACTCAATAGTAGAATGGAGTCGGTAGAGGATAAAACTAGTGAACTTAAATACAGAACAATAGAATTCACAACATTTAACAAGCTTCAGGGACCTGTGGGACAATAAGAAAAAATCCAACATTCATATCACCAGGGTCCTAGAAGGGAGGCTGAAAGATTACTTGACAAAATAATGGCTCAAACTTGAGTGAAGACACACATCTATGGATCCAAGAAGCTGAGTGAACCCTCAAATAGGATACACTCAAAGAAATTCATATCTAGATACACCATAAGTAAACTTGTGAAAAAGAAAAGAAAAATCTTGAAAAGTAGCCAACAACTCATTACTTATAAGGGATATAAGTATACTTATTGGGGAATTCTAATGACAGCAGATTTCTTATTTCAAGTCATGGATGCCAGAAGACACTGGCACAATATTTTTCAAGTGCTGAAAAAAAGTACTGTCTTCCACCAATTCTGTGTACCACGAAACTATCCTTCAAGAATGAAGGGAGGCTGGATGTGGTGGCTCACGCCTATAATCGCAGCACTTTGGGAGGCCAAGGTAGGAGGATCGCTTGAGCCTGGGAGTTCAAGACCAGCCTGGACAATATAACAAGACCCCATTTCTACAAAAAAAAAAAATTTGTTTTAACTATCTGGGCATGGTGGTGTTCACCTGAATTCCCAGCTACTCGGGAGGCTGAGGCTAGGGGATCACTTGAGCCCAGGAATTGGAGGTTGCAGTGAGCTATGATTGCACCATTGTACTCTGCCCTGGGCAACAGAGCAAGATCTTGTCTTTAAAATGATAATAATAATAAGGAAATAAAATGATTCCTAGAAGTAGAGAAACTAAAAGAAGTTGTCACTAGCAGACCTACTTTTAAAGATAGTCTGAAGGAAGTTCTTCAAACAGAAAGGAAATGATTAAAAAAAATAATCTTGGCGTATTAGGAAGAAAGATGGAAAGAAAAGAGCAGGGATATAAGTACATACAACAGACTATCTTTTTTCACATGAGTGTTATAAATCATATTTTATGTTCGAAACAGCAATTATAATACCATCTGATACTCAAAACAATATTTAAATGTGTGGAAGGTAAAGGGACCTAAATGGAAGTGAGGTTTCCACACTTCACTCAAAGTAGTAAAATGTTAATGCCAGTAGACTGTTTGTTATAAGTCACATATAGATGCTGCAACACTCAGAGCAGTCAATGCAAGAACTATACAAAGAGATACACTCAAAAACACTACAAATAAATCAAGAAAAAATTTAAAAATTTTAATGTAATACACAGAAAGGCAAAAGGAGAGAAACAGAGGAATAAGAACCAGGGGAAAAAAAACTAAAAAAAAAAAAAAAAAAAAGATAATAAAATGACAGAATTGACTAAGGTATTGATAATTATCTTAAATGTAAATTATCTAAATACACCAATTTCAAAAGACAGAGATTGGCAGAATGAAAAACAGCAACAAAAAATGGTGCTACTATAGTGACTTATAAGAAACTCACTTCAAATTCAAGACACAGGTAGGTCAAAAATCAAAGGATGGGAAAAGATATGCTATGGAACATCAATTTTTAAAAAGCAGAAATGGCTGTGTTAATATGTGGCAAAGTTGACCTCAGAGAAAATTAC